CCTTCGCACATTTACTAAGCATTGATAATCCTTCAAGGGGTATATTTAGGAGCATAGAGATAACTTTGTTCGAATCTAAAAAGTTTATACGAGTCTACTAAGACTATGATCCTCTACTTCTGCAAGTGTTGGGATGCTTCTACCCTTTTATTGGCATAAAGACATCTCCTCACATTGTCTGGATTACTCTAGAATATGGAGAATTGTCTCATCTCTGGTCAAAAGAGTAGTATCCTTTACCGTCCTACCCATGGGTATTATACTCCGCTTGAGCGTGAACATCGAGATACCTTTGTTAATGCAAAGATTATTTTGCTTATCAACCGAGATTTTCTAAAAAAGGGAAATGAGACACTTTTATCCGGAGAATGAGAGAATTAAGATGCCCCCACTATTTAACAAAATCAAGAGATTAACGTAATATTTTTCATTATAAGTCTCGAATCAAGACATTTTATGACACTCCCCCAACCAATGGGAACAAGTGTTATGCGTTCGGAAATAACATCATTGTCCATGATTCATCCAATGTCTCATACTCCTCAAATGACTATAGTTCCATGACTAGACTTTTGATAGTTTCATGTGATTTACAAAGTTAAACCTGATCCAACAACTAGAACAATCTTGTTTAAGTCAACCTACATATAACCATCGTTATCATAATAAGTCTGATATCAGCCATCCTATAATCTGAGTATTATACCCTAATGAAAGGTTGAAAGAGGGAACTCTCCACTTTCTTCTCATTCTTCACTTTCATCTTCCTTTATGTCTTCATCTCTCTCATAGAGAAACATCGACCAACAATTGTTACCTCATCACCCACGACTTTCTGCCTAAATAATAAAAGATGAACCGGCAACAATTGATGAGATAAACTTATTCCCATCAACAATATTGAAAGGACAAACAAAACAAAGAAAGGAAAAAGACAATTATATTTCCTAAACTAATTATTTTAATTATCTTGGAAATAAAAAGTTCATTTTAAAGATTTTTTTAAAAACTAATAATTAGAATGATATCTAATTATTTATTTATTTTTATAAAATAAATCTATTTAGAATCAATACTAAAAACAAAAATAATTAATTAATTGATAAGAACAATAAAAACCAAGTTCGTTTTATTTATGAAACTGAATTAATTAAAACATGTTTTAATTCCTAAATTTTTAGGATGCCTCGTATTTCGTTTCTCGTGCGTCTTACTTCCTAAATATGCAGTGGTTTTCCTGATTCTTCGCAAAGTGTTTCAACTTAAAAAAAAAAAAAACTTGGAATTTCATCCCATCTTCAATGCATATCCAATTCTTGTCCCCAAAGGCCTACATATATATAAAAAGTGTACCTAAATTTGTATTGTAAATCAGCATTGGAAGAGTAGATCTCAATTGTTTTTCACATCATAAAGAAAGATCAAATGTCACGCCAAACCCTGGCTTTTGCTTTGACCTTAATTGCCATTTTTGGGATGGTTTCTGCTGACAACAAGGCCGTTGCCAGCCCCACTATCGTCGCTGCCACACCGGTCCCATTCAAGACATCATTAAATCTGCCGCAGGTGCACCCGCTATTGGTAACAGTGGTACCGTTGAAATCCCCATTGGCAGTGCTGGTTTGGGTAGTGCGGCCACTGGTGCAATGAGTGGTCAGCCCCCTAACAGTAACGGTGCAACCACCATTACGATATCATCGGCTTTCGCAGGAATTGCTGCCATTGCCAGCTACTTTGTCATCTTTGCAGGCACAAGGCATGTTATATGACTTTTAATTTGTCCTGGTCATATTGTATATTCATTGTAGTTTAAAATGTTGTAGAACTTTAAAAATCATAATGCTAATCATGGTTTTACGTGTAGTATGATTGTCTTTTAATTTCTGCAATTAAAATATATCACAAGCAACCCATATTTGAATATTACCCAACTTTTCATACAAAATATCAATACCAAATACTAAATGTCATAAAAGGAAAACCGGATTTCTAACTGTTTACTAACAGAGAATGCACTGGTGGGAGAAAGGCAGCTGCTCCTTCCAAAACAAAACCATCCATCTTACTAATTTTATTTTATTTCTCCTATGTAAGCTGGAAACTTGATATGCTCAAACATTTTTTATCCATCTATTTCAAACTTGATCTGCAATTCAGCTCAAACAAATTTGAATGGCATTCCACGGGGCTGCCTTCACGACTCTTGACTCCTTAATTAAATAATGAATGTAATAACTTTCCTTTTCTGACCACTGCTATTGAGACTGGCTAGTGGCTACCTAACATGTTACTTCTACTCATCTCGTACAACCAACACACATGAGCGCCAAGCAAATCAGAAATAAACTGATGAGCAGCTAGTCACCACCTCGAGCATCATAGGAGAATGATTCTTCATTGATCACCTGAAAAGGGAAATTTGCCTCAATACATCCCCTTAAATACGGGATTTGTGCGACAAACGCTTGCTCCATATTCCTCGTATTCTGCTTTTGTATGAGATGCCTGCATATATAAGTCAGGAGATTTTCAACCAAAATCCAAATGTTAGCTTATAAATTAAGATTGCACAAGGTAACACTAATTGGAAAGCGCATAGCAAGAACATTGGCCAACTACAGAAGCCAAACTTGATGCCATTCAGTGGCCTGTATAGAAACATGAGTAAAGTATCAGTTTAGAAATGCATACCGCGAAAAATTCAGGTGTTGATGCAAGTACAGAACCTCCAAACCACACTGCAAATCTTTGGATAGGATGACTCACTACATTAACTTCCACAGGTTGTACCTAGAAGGTGAAGCCCCAAAAGGAGATTAGCACTGAGCTCTTCTTGGGATGAAAATGTAAGTTAAAAGCCCAAAAGTTCTTACTTTTACTTCCCCACCATGCCGAGCATCAGAAGCAAGTACTCGGGCATCCACAATCTTTTTCAGATCCCGCTGCAGCCTTCTGTGGAGGCCTTTGAACATGGTTGATCCACCAGATAATATTATATTCTGAAAGAGTTAAACAGTGAGAAAAATAAGTTTAAATCTTATATTAAAATATAAGAAAACAATGTGGATATTTCCCTTTCTCTTCTGAATTCATTCAGTCTCTGAACTTAACTGCAAGCTTGATTTGCCTTTTGGTCAATATCAAGAAAGCAACCAACAATCAGCACAGCCAAGTACCAATGTCTTTCAACTAGGCTAAGAATTTTTTTCTGTAAAAAACTAATCAACTAGCTACACTTCCAATATATATAGATTAAAATCAAACCAAATTTGAGAAAAGAAATTATAATCGACTCATGAGTACATAAGAGACATTGATGCAAGAGATTAAACTAAAATAACCCAAATTTTCGAGAACTCTCATCTGAGAAAAAATTGAAAGTTGAGCTAAATATACCGGTTTAACCCTTAATCAGTGCATCTAAACCCTCAAATAAAATGCTTTCTTGTTCATTTATATTTCTCTTGTCTAAGAATGAAAATTTTGCAATTTGCTTGTGTTATTATTTTCTCTTTTTCTTTTGAGCCTATGAATACTTCACCTTATACAAAGCTCTTCTTGTGTCAATTGGTGCTGACTGAATGCACTTGTCTATTACAACTGGTAAAGGAGTCGTAAAATCGCTGCTGCTATAGATCTCGGGACTAAACAAAACCTGTCAAACCAACCACTAAGTAAACATCACTTACAAGCAATATTTGAGAAGCAATTAATAAGCAGCATAGATAAGGCAGGGTTTCTTTCCTTGAAAAAACAAAGTCTATTATCACATAATTAGTTGCATCACCAAAGCACAAAAAATGACAAAGAATGCCCTTGAGAAATGTAAATAGCACAAGGAAATCAAGATTTTTCTCATATATAAATGTATATCGCAGGCTAACTGCCAGCCCCTAAAACTAATATTATGAGATTTATATATACACTAATATAAAGGAATACTTCCAGTAATCTTAAACTCTAGGAATGAATTTACAAGGGAAAAAAAGGACAAACATCAGGGCCCAAAAATCGTTCATAACTTTATATCGCAGGCTAACTGCCAGCCCCTAAATCTAATATTATGAGATTTATATATACACTAATATAAAGGAATACTTCCAGAAATCTTAAACTCTAGGAATGAGTTTAAAAGGGGAAAAAAGGACAAACCTCAGGGCCCAAAAATCGTTCATAACTTTATACCGCAGGCTAACTGCCAGCCCCTAAATCTAATATTATGAAATTTATATATACACTAATATAAAGGAATACTTCCAGTAATCTTAAACTATAGGAATGAGTTTACAAGGAAAAAAAAAGGACAAACCTCAGGGCCCAAAAATCGTTCATAACCAATATCACAGGAGTATGGTGTCCCTGTCTTTGGTCTAATACCTCTCCACTGTTTGATGTACTTTGAAGGTTCTTTATCATGCTTGTTGAACTCCTGAGATAAATATAAAAAATAGTTATTATCAAATTTTCATAAGAATGCAGAACTAGTGAACATCATTATAGTCATGCTGGGTAAGAAGCCTGCAGCAAACCAGTGAGCCAAAATATTTCCAAAATCACAATCCAACAGAAGCAAAAAAAAAAAACCTTGACAATATCAGAACAAGTGTAGCAATATCTCTCCTTAACTTTCCGAGCAACTTCAAATGAGTCCTCCGGCGGAACTTTCTCTCCTCTTTCCTGCACATAACAGAGTGAAAGGGCAAGAATTCATTATCACTGAACACGTTATTTTACAATTTCCAAATCCACAAATATACGATACAAAGACAATAGAAACTAATGGAATTCAATGTTTAAACCCAGTTTTTGTGAGCCTTTACAAAAAAAGCCATCTTGGCAAACAGATACCACGAAGAAACAAAAAGAAACTTTAATTCAGCCTGCTTCCGGATAGCAGCTCCTGTTCTCAAATTCAAACTAGCATTGCTTCAAAAGGAAACAAATTCAAGACAATAAACTGAACATATGTAAAATGACGTTATGTTTCCTCAAAGACGCTACCACACAGCCAAAAATAAATTTGGAAGGATCCAAGAATCTGTCACAAACTGGAACAGAATGTTTGAAAGCACAGTATATAAAAAGGTAAGTGCATAAACAACTAAATGCGAATGTTGTAAAGGGTGCACTCTAGGTGCTACCGTGCTAGAACCTTTACACTGCCTCATGTACAAGGCACACTGGGCACGTTCCTGGTCATATGTGACTCGCCTGAAAGGGTCTAAGGTGCTTTTGTTGCCTGGCACTAAGGTGAGGCACACCTAGGTTCACTCTTGAGAACATCAATAAATCCAACCACAGATATGGCTGAGTAATGCCAAGGAGAGTATTTTCTCTTTATGACATAAGAATAACATTAAGTACTATCCAATTGAATAAACAGCAATCCAATGATATCAAAGGGTGCACTGTAGGTGCTAGAACCTTTATACTGCCTCATGTGCAAGGTACGCTGGGCATGTTCCTGACCATATGTGACTTGCCTGAAAGGGTCTAAGGTGCTTTAGTTGCCTAGCACTAAGGCGTAGGCACACCTAGATTCACAGCTTGAGAACACCAATAAATCCAACCATAGATATGGCTGAGTAATGCCAAGGAGAGTATTTTTTCTCTTTATGACATAATAATAACATTAAGTACTATCCAAATGAATAAACAGAAATCCAATGGTATCAAAGTACAAGTCTTGAAAGAAAAAAATATACCCGCATGAGCTGCTGTATGAAGAGTGTAACATCTTTTCCTGCTATTGGTATTGACTTAATGCTGCTCCCAATAACATAACCATCTGCAACAGGTACGATATGTGTAGCCCCATCTCCAACATCCACGACCACCCCTGTCATCTCACACTATAGAAAACTGTACGTTAAACTAAATGAAAATGATGATTAGCAAGAAAAACAACACACAAAATGTAGGGTATGAAGCTAAATAGAAGATAGAGTAGTTCTTTAAACTCTACAAGCATAAAGTATTCAACCTAACTCACAGCTTATGCCAATAAGATTTGCAACATCTATGACTTCAGAATAATTCTCTCCAATAATTAAAGATAAAACAAATTTAAACATATTGAAACAGTATAATGCAGGCACCATATGGATTAAGCTATTAACATGCAAATGAATAGTATAAACATTTGAGGGAGTTGGCAAAGACTTTTATCTCATAAAACCTTCAAGCTTAATGTATTTTAAATGTAAAGACTGGAAGTTTTATACAAATGAAAGCATTTTCTACAAACATAACATGGTTAATCATTATAAATTAATCCAACAATAATATTCATAATGTTCTAAGATGGATACAATTAATTACCATGCTACAGAGAATTTAAGACATTAGAGTAAGCTAAAAGCAATACTGCAATTCTTTCCCAATGACTAAATGGATTTAAATCAATTGCTAGTTGACTGATGAATACGTAACCATCCTAGAACCAACATTCGCACTCATGATTCAATGTCACAATGTGCAGTTTATAAATACAACAAATACTAAAAGTCATGGACAATCAAGGACCCTAATCGATTAATCTAACATACTAGTAACAACTAACAAATATATATAATACCAGAAAACAGAGTGCCACAGAAAACTAAATCACGGACCTTAGATGTAGTGTACCCAGCAGCTAAAGCAAGGACAGAATTCACAGCAATATAAAGCCCTGGAACATTAAACGTCTCAAACATAATCTCACCCATATATTCTCGATTCTCAGGAGCAGTAAGTGGACTCTCAGTCAACAAAAAGTAATGACCCTCAGGATCACACCGTAAATAATTGAAAATACATTGTTGCCAATACCGTTCCATCGCATCCCAATTATCTACTTGACCATGCCTAATGGGATGGGTAAGGTTATAAGTATTACTTGATCGGGATTTCGCAAGTGCTTCATCTCCCATGAAGAAATCAAGATCTGCCATTACCCCAGCTGAATGCTGAGCTGACCAATTCGATTTTGAAGTTCTAGATTGATTTAGAAAAAACTCGTTAATTGCTACTACTGTTGGTTGAATAAAACAAGGCTCTACATTACCAGAAAATCCCATCTTAGTATACCTGCAAATAAATAGATAAATAAGAAAGAAGAAAAAAAAAAAGAGGAAGAATAATTTCATCAAACAGTCAGAGATCACGCAGTTTGGAGTAATATTCAGTTACTAAAAAAAAGAAGCTAATCAATACCCGGTACCATTATCGATGACGACAGCGGGGCGAGAAGTGGGATCCATCGAGAAGAGAAACGGAAGCTAGGAAGTTGGTTTTGGTGGAGGTGGATCTGCGAGCGAGATCCGAGATAGAATCGGGGGCAAGGGATCATGGTCGTGAAGCGCGCTTGAAGAAGCGCAAATAAGGAGGAGTGAACTCCGCCGTCGCCGGGCCGATGGTATTGACCCGATAACAACAACCAACTGAAAGCAGCGACGTTTCAACGGTATTAGGTTGTCAAACTCCGTTCCATAAAAGAAGTATAATCATTTGATCATCAAATTGCCTCTTTTTGTTCTCTGTGTTGATCGATACTTTTCTTAGCAACCGAATCAGAAAGAAAGACAAGGCAACAACTTCCCCCTTTCTTTCTTTTTAAGTATCAACTTGGACCACGAGTACTAATATTTTTGGTTTCTATGGTGACGGTTACTTTTAATTCACTGAATTTGGAAATTGGGGATCCACGCAGTGGAGGCGACTCAAATTTAAAAGTATTCTCCACGTTTTAAAAATAAATAAATTATAGATGTATTGTTATTTTATTCTGGTAAAAAAATATAGTATTTTATAAGAAGAAATTGAATATTGTCATATATATTATAAGTTTAAATTGAACATTTTCATATATTATTATATATAGTCTTTAATTATTTTATTTATAATTCATGTATATGTATAAAAGATAAAAAAAGTTATTATAATAATATTTATTATTATTTTGAAAAAAAATGATATACTATTTTATAACAAAATCAAAACTTTAATGCTTGTTTTGTATTTTTTAAAAGTCCAGTGAGCATAGTTACCATTTTTGTACTTTATCCTTCATATTTGAAAAGTTACGAATACAAGGCAACAACAAATAGAAGCGTCCCCGCCGGGTCCGAGCTAATCTAGGAAGCTGCCTGAAATGAAACTTCATTCTTTTCCCACTAAGACTGCTTTAACGGCTATCAACAAAAATGGGTTCCCTTCAGCTCAGGTTCTGTTCTTACTATCTGCTCGGGATTTTATGGTTTTCTTGTTAAAAATTGCTTCGAGTTTGGGTATTGAGTCTGCAGGTTGATATAAAGTTTCGAATTTTCCTTGTAAATATGAGAATCAAGAAGGAATATAATGATATGTAATATTAGAATTTAAACTATGATCTGTTGTTTAGCCTTTACATGTGGCAATTTGGTATCACGTCAATCCTGGTTGAAGCAGTTAATAAGTTTTTTCAATGCATTATTTCACTCTTTCATTCTGATTCCCCATTTCCCTCTCCCATGAAAGTAAAAATCCCTTCCTTCCTTTCTCCTCGGATTGTCTTTATGCTACTGCAGCCATTGGTGATCACTTGTATGGTTAATTGATACTATCTTCCCTGTTATTATTGTAGTTTTCTGGGATTTGGACTAATAGTTGACTAGTGTTTCCAACTCCAGGCACTTCCCAATGCCAAACCAAATGGTGAACAGTTCATGTCAAAATTGCTTGACAGAAGGTGGACATTGCTCATTCCTGATACCAAAATTCATCAAATTACGGTCTCCTTCACAGAAGGGCGAAAAGGAGGGGGATTGCTTAGCAATGTTTCTTTCTCAAACAACAATCACCCTCATCTTGGAAAGAAGATGTTTGAGGACAATCCAGGCTCATCATTCTATATTGTTAGGGATGATTTATTGCACCCCTTTGTCAATGGCAATAAAGCAAGAAAACTTGATGGACTGCTTCCTCTCATTGAAGATCATGGAGTGACTGATGTGGTAAGATCTTCTTTCTTTCGCATGTAAGATGGCAAGTGGATTTAGATTTACCGTCTTTTATATGAATATGCATTATCCATCTGGTTCCACATGTTAATGTTTCTCATCTTTAAACTCCCTTATATCTCTATGCGAATCTGGTGGGACAGATGGCAGCTCTGGTAACATTCTTCATGCGAGACATTATAGACTTATATGATGCTGACCAATGTTTTTTAAGGGATTAGTAGACTAAGTAATAATAGTTTCAGTTTATTCTCTATGTTATGGGTGGCTTGAATAAGAATAGTTTGTAATTTCATAAATATTTATGGAATAGACAGTTATGGTCAACATTTTGTGTTCAGGAATGACTTTGGATAGTGGATACAGTTATAATAGTATTTAATAGGACAATTTCAATTGGTAATATGTATTTCTACGACATGGAATATCCTACCACCCATACAGCCTCTACTGTATAGACACAAATGGCTGCACCGTGTCTCCACGGTGCAACTTTTCTCCCTTGTTTCCCTATTTTTCTTTAATTGAATTTTTATTAGTCAATACCCTTTTCAATCTTGCAAACTCCGGAGACCAGATAATTTCATATTGAGGACTTTTCTAGGTTACATGTGGTGGTTGTCAAAGCGCACATGCAGCAGCTGTTGGTAGGTATTTTCTTGTTGCGGTTACAAGAGTAAATTCCTCCCAAATTTTCTTCTCCAGAATTCTAATAATTTCAGCAATATCAGCCATATAAAGCCTTGTATCATATTAGTCTTTTTTGGGTTTTCCAGCTGTTTCTTGTGCAGAGAGAGGACTGAAGTCACACTTGCTTCTACGAGGAGAGCAACCCCAAATTTTGACTGGCTATAACTTGATTTCAACAATCTATGGAAATGTAACATATGTTCCAAGATCCTTTTATGCCCACAGGGAAGGAATGCTACAGACACATGCTAGTATGGTTGCAGGCAATAATGGTAGTGTCGTATATTGCAATGAAATTATTGATGCTTCTCTAGCATCCCAGACATTGCAGTTTTCAAAGTTTGTGCAAATGGATGCTCCTAGGGGCACCGAGAACAACTCAAATAAGGTTGCGATAGTCAATGAAGGTGCTGGAGATGCTGTTGCATTACTAGGTAAAGGAAAATTGTAGATTATCTATTTGTATATAGTCACCATTTAATATTTTTCTCAATTATATCCTTTGTATGCTGTTAATTTATCCATTTCAGGTTTTAAGTTCCTTTTTTTGGTTTCTAGATAGCTTCATTTAATTGGTTTCTTCCGTATAGGTCTGTTTCGTCTGGTTGACTACTTATCTCAAGATCATTTACTTGGAAAAACGAGAGCATTCAATTTTGTTGTGGATTCTGGTACTGGGACGACTGCTGTTGGTTTAGGCCTTGGTGCCATGTATCTAGGGTGTGAACTTCTTTCATCATGTATCTTTGCATTCTCAAAAAATTTATGTTATTGTCTTATGAATGAATTTCCTAAATTGAAGCCCGTGTTTACTGTTGCTACTTTCCAGGCTTCCATGGAAGATTACTGCAATAATGTTGGCTGACACAATTGATTCATACAGACAACAAGAGAGGCGATTAATTGCTCAATTCAAGAGCCAATTTTGTTATCTTCTTGATAGTCACTTCCTTAATAGAGCTAATGATGGAATTGTGAATTGGGTGGACCGTTTCCATCCGAGAAAGTAAAGTAGTTCTGCTTTCGTTTTCTTTTTCATTGTTTACAGTTTAACTTCTGCATAAGCTAGTTCATAACCTCTTTGATGCACGGGGGAAATCATCTATGATAGACAATTTTTACTGAGAATATTAATAAATGTGAAGCAAACTAATGCTTTAAGAAATCATGAAGTTAAGAATGAGAATGGATAAAATATCTTTATTGTTGTCAATTCTTGAAAAGTAGCTTCTTATTCTCGGACTGAGTCCATTTCGAATCTGTTTTTGCTCTCTTTCATATAGATTTGGCAACATTTTGGAAGGGGAAATCGATGCTTGCCAACAAGTTGCACAGCAAACTGGTATCCTATTGGATCCTGTATATACCTTAGCTGCTTGGGAAACGGCGACACAAATTACCTGTGCATATGAAGCTGATGCCAATTTGGTTATGCTTCACACCGGTGGTACACTTGGCATGTTCGGACTAGCACAGAGGTACAAGTCACACTTTGGTAAGCTGAACAATGCAATAAAGAGTTGATTTTGTGATCGAATCCGTAAGAGCTTCGTGTTAGTAGAAGCCAAAAACCAGGGTAAGAGGGAAAAATAAAGGTTCCTACTAGTTGGTATTCAAACTGAAAAGAAAGACTTAAGTTTCTGCAAAACTTTGAGCTGAATCTGGTGTTCAAACTGGGAGTCATATCTGTGCAAGTTCCAGAATACTGACAGAAGTAAACATGAGGTGGATAGCATTAACTTGGCATGTGATGAACTTAAATTCTGTGTTTGAATGGCATGGCAGCCGTTTAATGCTGTGGCAGCCTCCAAACTTTTAGGGTTTATTTTTCATTTTAATTGAAGCTTTGAAGTCACTGAAGCAGGGAACTGCCCCTGCCACTCTCAGTTCATGCATGCGGCTGCTTTCGCTGGTCTTGGTTCAGTTGCTGCTTGTTTGATTGATACGGTCGCAGAAAATGGCATTTAATATGTTTGAATTTGAATATTAATAATTATAAGCTTAACTGGAGACGATGTAAAATCTTATTTGATTTCAATACTCAAACACTTGGCCGCTCGGACCTCCACTTAATGATACGGCTTATCATACCTTAATCGCTACATTGCACTAGAATTTCTTTTACATATTTTAATATGTTTTGTTCTCTAAACTTTAAATAAAAGTATGCGATCCGTGTAACTATTTAATTTCGTTCGACTCTCAAACTTTAACAAAAAAAATATGAAACTTTATTCTTTTCATTTCACCCATTTAAGCCCATTTTTAAATACATATTTCAATAAATAAATATTTTATTTATTTTTAAAAATAAAATAAATAAACAGTTTATTTATTTACTTTTTTTTAACGTAACCCAATATACAAATATTAAACTCAATTACAATTAACCCATAAATAGCCCAACACATCCTTAGTCTGTTTACACCCTTCAGCCCACTACAAACAAACCCCATTACACATAAAATCCAAACAGGCTAACCTAATTACAACAGCTCATTTATGGGCCTAGCATTAATATATTCGTCGGAATTAATGTAACCGGACAATTCCTTCGAGGTTAATACAATCTCTCTAAAAATTGTATTCATGGAGTTTAAATTGGACGTTGGTGGTATTGTTCTTCTCTATGAACAGAACTTGGAAAGAAAACAGAAAGCTTTGAGAGTAGAGAGAGTATTTTTCAGATGATCCATTGAAAAGCTAAAAAACCTCGATAATTATAGGCTTAGAAAATTCAACATAAGGCGTAAATGCAGACACAAATATAATTGTATTAATAGCTAATACAACAGTTGTTCAATTACATGTACTAACAAGCTAAAGCGCTCCAACTACAGTTTTTATAGCGTTGTAACAAATCATAATTAACACCTAATTAAAATCTGAATACAACAGTCAAGAGTGTGGATTCGTCTTAACTTAGAGCTGTTAAAAACAGTCAAATGATCACCTGGAATTAAGTTATAATTAACAACATAATAATTGTAGTAATTGACAACAATTTCGGGTAACAGCTGCAACAATATACAACACGTAAATTTATTCGTATGTCTACAAATACAAGAGAAATTTTTTTTTCAATATTTGTAAAACTTCTAAGGGAATAATTCTTATGAATTTTCTCTTAAAAGATTATATACTAATTACAGAAGCACAATATGAACATAAATAAAAATAAAAATAATATATTTTAGGTAAGATATAATAAAATAAATAAATAATTATAATTTGACTTATACATACATACATATATATATATTACAAAATTAAATTGTGAAAATTATTAACTTTTACATTATTTTTTCTCGATACTACATCTAATTATTTTTATGTTCTCAAAAGAATAAAATTAAATTTTTAGACTTTGAAAGAGATTTTAGATTTTTTTAGATTTTATAATTTTTAAATTTTTATAATTTATAAATTTTTATGGATTTTTAACTTTTTTAATAATTAAAAATAATTTTCGTGACCAAATGTTGACGCATCAATAAAATTCACTACAATTAATGTAATTAACATAAATACAACGAGAGAAAATCAATTAATCATGTTTTTTTTAAAATAAAAGCTTAATATATAATTAAAAATAATAACACAGTTGATTTTAAAGTATAACTAAAGGGGAAAAAACTTTAAAACCTAATAATATTACACCAAAACAGAAAATTCAGCTGCACATTTCAATGTTATTTTCACACAAATACAACGACCAAAGCTATTAGTAAAATAACATTCACAACAACCGGCCATATTAGGTGGACTTTTTAAATTCATGTAAATCTAACTATGAATCTATTAAAAATTGGATGATCGAGATCTGAATTGATCTATTTAGAAACCAACATATTCTTCATTTTAGAATCCAGAGTCAAAATCAATGTTTGAATATGTATCTACATAAGTAATACGAATTTGGATAATGAATATGTAAGAGTATCTATTCATATTCGCTTCAAATCCACAACAAGTAATAATTCTAACATCTGAATTTAAATATTATTTTAATTTATAAAAAATAAGATATTCATAAATATCTAAATTTACAATCCGAAATATCATCCTAAGTCTAATCCAATTCAGCTCTGGATATTTTACAAAGAAAAAAAAAGTTGCATATGTATACCTTGTTTCATGGTGATTAGCCCATGTTTTTCAGACAGGAAGCCGTAGGCATAAATTATGAGGGAATTAAGATTGTAGCTTGACAATGTATATGTAAACAAAAAAGTAGACAATTTAGATCTTAATGTTGGGATAAGGTAGATTTCCTTATGACATTCATGAACCCCATATTTTATAAATAAAAAAATATTTTTCCTCTTAAGGAATTATCTAAAAGATCATGTTCGGACATGTTCTGAAAACAAAACCAAAAAAAAAAAAATGTAGAAATGAAAACTTGAGATGACGAAGTCGAAAAATCTCGGGGACTATGAGCACCGCCGCCACATTCTCATCCTTTAGGCATCGAATGTTCTCTTTGCCTTTGTTTCCACACAAAGTTTCATCATAAAGTTAACTATATATATTTTGGATTATATTCTTCATATACATAAAATTTCAATTAACTTAAGGTCTCTATAATATCAATTAAAATATTATTTTTATTAATATATATGCATTTAACCATTACAAAATATTATTTAAGGTCTCATCATAAGTTCTCGAACTTAAGAAACCTACGGAGAATAATATTCCTTTTAACTATTAAGACCACTTGATGAATTTTAAATAACTATAAAAATTATATTTATCTATTTTATTTCTTAATTATACTATTTTTAAAATCTAAATTCAATAAAAGAAAAAACATGCAGCAAGATTTTTAAAATTTTTATTTCTTTAAAAATAGATAAACATACATGTATGTGTTTATTTTTAAGTATCATATTTATATCTACGTAATTATATACAAAAAAACAAACAAACAAACTGCACAACCGAGCCCAATCTAAACTTTTGTCATGAAAACTTTTCTTGAGTCGCGACCCAATCCATCCCATGCTAATCAATGCAGTTATGTGCCTTGAGTGGCGTTACCCACCATCAAGATGGTTCAAAGTTAATATCGATGGGGTTGTGTAGAATTGTGATAACATTGCTATAGCTGGTGGCGTTATTAGAAATGATGTGGGGGGGGGGGGAATGGATCTTTGGTTTCTCTGGAAGTTTAGGAACCGGTTCGGTATTCATGGCTGAATTGTGGACAATGTATGATGCTTTACGGCATGCACGAAACTTAAATAGGAAGTACGCATGGAGTACATACGATTATCGGAATAGCTGACTGCCTAGCATGACCGAGTCGTGGAACTCCAATTGGGGAGAAGACATTTTCAACACCGCCATCTTTATAGTTGAAATGCTGCAGATCGATCACCTATAGCTTAATTATTCTTGTTCCATTTTCAAACAAAAAAGAATAAGAAAAGAGAGAGTGACATTTATAATTGTTTCAATTTTAGATTATCAAGTTCAAGCATCTAACCATTTTATTTTCATTCCAAAGCTTTTCATAATAACCACACGTACACGGTATATTATACAACGTCAGGCAGAAACACCAAACTTGCAGACACACTTATGCAACTACCATAGAAACCACCATATTTGCGAGACACTTACGAAACTACCATAACTTTGCCTCATCAATTCGACCAAAAAAAGGATTAATCTGGATTACAGTTCATCCTTGCCCTTGGATATGGAAGAACGTTTTCGGTTGTTGTTAGACTGCAGCTTCACTGGGTATGATGCTTCTAAAGTTACCACAAAGCCCTTCTTCCGCATCAACATCTCGTTTCATTCGTATGTAGCCTTTCTCTCCCCAGTTTTCACCCCACGAGTTCTTTACTACCCATTACTTTGTTCCATCCGAGGTTGCTCCATATCCTACAACTGCCACCCCATGGTTCAGCTCGGTGCCACAATCTCCGGGGAAAACCCCCTGGAACAAAGTGTGTATTTATTGGGATTGTAAGAATTGCTTATTATTAAGCATTTTTGTAATGTATTTGCGTTTTACATGTTGAAGGCCTAAAAGGTTACTAGTAGCTGCATTTGTTTCTCATTTTCATGGCTGGAGATTTTTTGTTACCTCTGAGTAGAACTGGAAATCCTTGCCACCAGCATCCAAAGCAATAGACACAGGCTGGTTTGCTACAGCTTTCATCAGAGCGTTTTCATCTTTTTCGGGTACCATTTCATAGCCATCGATGATCACAACCGGACCATTCAACTAAAAAAGATAAATAAAATAAAAGATAGCATATTCAAATCACCATTTATGCATAAAGACAGAATTAAAGAAGATGCTTTCCGTTACCTTGGACGTGTCACATAACTCATTTTTTGCTCTGTAGGGATAGTTATTCTCAGTTGTTAGTCCATTACTTTTCTTGATGAACTCAAATGCTTGTTCCATCAATCCTCCATCACATCCTTGGTTATCACAATCAACAAGCTCTTGTTCAGATAAAGTCACTAGCTCCCCCGTCTTTATTTGGTTTATACCTTCCACTGCAACTACAGTTGAAAACGCCCAGCAGCTACCTGTGACATCAATACTTTTTGAGCAACTTCAAAGCAAACTTCACAATATCTTGACATGTATGTAAGGGGAAGGAAAACTATCTTAATATACTTAAAATTTTTCCTAGAATTATAGCAGTTATGTTGATTTGTAAATCGACTGTAAGAATGTATTAACAGGTGACTGGTACAAAACTTCAAAAGATACGAGTCCTTACCACATTTGCCTTGGTCCTTGACACCAGTCACCGCCCCTTTCTTCCTCCAATCAATGGAAGGTGGAAGGTTATTCGTTTTCTCATGTCTAAAATCAGTCAACCGTCTTGGACCATGGAACATTCGGTAATGGCTAACCTTTGAGCTCCTTGTACTCATGAACTCATGGTTGGTCATATCTGCAAACTTGTTCAGTTTCAACTTGAAAGGCTTATCCATCTGGTTCACCTTGTGAATATGTTTCAGATTCTCCTTGAACACATTGAAACGCTTTTGCTTCTCCTCCAGGTCACGTGAGATTGTATATTGACTCCTCCGCCTCTCGTACAAATCCCACAGACTCTCCTCAGAGGACAAGTCGCTCTCATGGTAATCAAAACTCTCAGCCAGGCTGAAAACTAGAGCCAACGAAAGCACAACCAATATCAACTTCTTTATGTCCATATCCATAGACTTTAATACCAAAAATGGAGGTTTAGTAAGAGAAACTCTCAACTGAGTCAAGGGAGAAACACAATCGATATATGATGCTCGACTCTATTAGTCGGGATTAAACTCCATGATTATCTAGCGATGCAAGCATGCCCTTTTATGCTGATAAAGGTAAGGTGTCAACATCTTAACCTTACCATGCTTTAACCAGTAATCAAGGCATAAAAGAGTGCTATTTTTGGAGAATACAACTTTACACCTATTTACAGAGACCATTTGATATAGCTTGGATGTACATACCAACAAACAACATGCTAACCCACGCAGCCTTTGTCTAACTTGCTCGTAGGCTCTGTTTTGAAAACCGGACCGGACCGGACCGGCCGGTTCAACCGGTTTAATCGGGAATCGTTGTTTAATCCGGTTCAATCTAAACCGGTTGAACCGCTATTAGTGAACCAGCCAAAACCGCTGAACCGTTCGAACCGGACCTGCTGAAAACTGGAAAAAACCGGGAAAAACCGGGATTTTTGTTTTTTTTAAAAAAAAATATTAAACCAAACAACGTCGTTTGTTAAACGAGCCAAGTCGAACTCGAGTATTGTTGAGCTCGACTCGAACTTGAAAACTTTAAAAGTAAGCTCAACTCAACTCAAACTCACAAGCTAAAAATTATCAAGTTCAACTCAAACTCGAAATATAATATTGAAACTTGAACTCAAAAAAAAAATTAGAAGCTCGATTGAAGCCTAAAATATTATGTTGTAGTTAATTTGAATCATTTTGTTTCACTTGATTTTATGGTTTTTAACTTATATATGTTATGACTTGCTTTGAATATGACTTGTGATATAAAAAATTATTTTTTATTAAATATTTTTGGTATTTTTATTTAATTTTTTAAATAATTATGATGTCGTCCGAATATTCTTCCGACCGGTCGGACCGGTTCGACCGGTTGAACCGGTGAACCGGTAGCATGACCGGTTCGCTAACCGGTCCGGTTCTGAAAACCATGCTAGTAGGAGACAAGTTGATTATGTACTTGGTGGTTGCCAAAGATGTAGAACACGATTTCTTGCAAATCATGGAAAAACGTAGTTATCAAAAACTGCATGTATTTTCTTCCCGAAGATCTGTTTTTTTGTTACACGTTGCATATACATATTGTACACATATATAGCATTTGGACAGCAAATAAAGGTAGAGAAAACTGATATGCATAAAAATGCTTGAAACATCTTTTCCTTTTCAGCACAAAGAGCAAAGATCATACTTCCAAAAAGCTTCAAACTTTCCGCTGCATTGTCATATCATCTCATTTCGTTCGAGCCTAGTGGCAGAATAAGCACATATGATTTTGGTCGGAAACAAGTAAGACCGGGTCAGAAGCGAACCATACGATCTGACTGACTCCAAATTGAAAGCTTTCAGTGGTTGACATACAAATTCAAAACAAATCATTGGCTGAATGGCATCCATCTTGAGATGGTCAAATACATATATGCACGAGTGTAGAAGACATGCAACAGCAGTGTGTAATAGTTCCTGTTAGGAAATGCTTGAAAAAAAAAATCGAATTTAGCAGGTCTTTGGCAGAGTCAGTACCATTATGCCACGCTGAGTCTTATGTTTTCATCATCATTGGGATGATATCATGTCCACAAAATTAAATATCCTTAGCAATCCCACTTCTATCCTTAGGAAAAGTTAGCTTTGTGAGGCATACATACTTTATAAAACCCACACATCACAAAGCAAAGTGGGGGTAAATGGCTAAATCAAAATGTTAGTTTAAAAGTTGGCCTTGATCTTGGCATTTTCAGATGAAATTCTAATAAAGATCAATGACACTCAAGTATCTAAAATATGTCGACAAACCATCAATCATTCATAATGAGCAGAGATGGTGTGGTTAAGGTGTCGATAGTAACCGCATGTGAACCAAATCTGTTACTTAGGCTCAAGTACAAGTGCAGAATAATGATCTGTGCCTGATACCAAACATGTTTAATTTTCCATTTTAAAGTTCTCCTACATGCTTAGAGCATCCTAGGAGAGTCATATCTCCATAATTATGTCTCAATATCTGTCGAACACAATTACTTCAAGTAGGGCTGTAAATGAGACGAGACAGATCGCGAGCTACTAGAGATCGACTCGATCTTGGCTCGATAAATACTCGGATCGAATGGACTCGACTCGAGCTCGAACTCGACTCGAGTTCTTAATGAGCCGAAACGAGCTACTCGATACTCGACTCGGGAAGCTTGTGAGCAGCTCGAAAAAAATGTTATATTATAATTTTAGATTTTTTAAAATTACATTATTAAAAATATATTAAAAATACATTATTGATGAATAAATATTCTTAAATTGAAAATGGTTAAAAATTATTTTTGAATAAATTTTCTTATATTTATTTTAAATTAATAAAAAAAAATTATTTATCTAATGACAAATATTTAATATATTTCTAATGATAATATTTGTAATAACTAAAATTTTAAATTGTTGTTATATTTTGAAGTTTCGAGTTCAAATATTATAAATATTAAGGGTTTGAGCATTTAATATCAAGATATTATATTGTACTTACCTCATAACTAATTTTTTATTTGATAATAAATATAATATAATAAAAAAATGATTCAATTTAAATATTAATAATTTAAAAAAAAATATCAAAACAAATATACCCTCTCTCCTTTCACTAAGTCATCTCATTCCTTCTAATTATGCGTTAAGGTTTAGGGTTTAGGGTTTATGTGATATGATTTAAGATTTAAGGTTTAAGGTTTAAGGTTTAGGGTTTAGGGTTTATGTGATAGGATTTAAGGTTTAGATATTAGGGTTTAGGGTTTATAGGTTATGGGTTAGAGTTTAGAGTTTAGAGTTTAAAGTTTAAGGTTTAGAGTTTATGTGATATGATATAAGGTTTATAGTTTAGGGTTTAGGGTTTAGTGTGTAAGTTATGCACATGAAGGTAACATACAAATTATGTAAAATGATGTTATGTGACTCCTAAATAAATCATTCGCATACTTATACATAAACATATCAACATGTAAAATAAATATACACAACTAATTAAAGAAAATAATCCTAAACAGGGATTAAAATAAATATACAAAATTGGAATTAAACCAATGACTTAAATACAAAATGCACATAAACTATATGGTCATATATGCAATTGATCCTATTCGGTTTAAGCTAAAATAACATGGAAAATAACATAAATGACACCTGAACATTTAAAACAAATAAGAAAATTTAAACAAATGTGATTGAAATACAAAAATTAAAATATAACATACCAAACTATAAATTTATTAAACATGCATATACATATTAAACTAATGACTAAATTTAAATAAACGTAAAATTCAACATACAAATCAATAATTAAATTAGGGATTTACAAAAGGGTGCTCAAGTTTGGGGGACAATAACTTAATTTACCAAAAAATTAATATGAAGTTGCAGATAATTAGGTCCAAGGCGGTGCCTCTGAGTGTCGAAGTAGGAGAAGATTCTAGTTTGGAGCAACATATCATCCTAGTAATAAATCCCAGGGACAATGATAGAAGGACAGAAGGCTAACTGCTCGTTCTCAGCAAACAAGTTATCAATGTTTTTGTTCAAAACCATTCGCCCCATCGGCTGCAAAGGGAAGATATCCTCTGGCCAGGTCTTGGTCACATCAAGTGGGTCGAAATCGAACCTATCCTCATCAGCAGGATCCATTATCTGAATGAACAGCTTCCACTCTGGATAGCTCCCACCTGCAATGGAGTTAAAGAGATCTTGCTTGTGTGGCATGACTGTGATTAGCTCCTCCAACTCTCACGGCCTCATCCTCCAACAAGTTTTTGACACCACAAGTTGGTTTCCAGTGGAATTTCAGATAGTGTGCCTTCCCAGCCTTGTTGATGAGTGTATAGGTATGAACACCAGAGCCATCTATGTGCCTGTAATCCTGGGGAATGCCTATGTCGTCGAATAGGAAGGTGAACATGTGCAAGCTTTCGGGATGGTGTGAGAAGAAGTCCAGGATCCTTGAGTTGGTCATGTGAGTTATATCCCACATCGGTGGTTCTTGGGGAATAAGGGGTAAAGTGGAGTGTATAAAAGGGGATGGGTTTTAGCAACTAAAATAAAAGTCCAGCTCTTGAATTTTTTTTGAGTTCGAGCCTTTTCGAGCTTTTTCGAGTTCGATTCGAATTTCAATATTATATTTCGAGTTTGAGTCGAATTTGAAAAATTTAAGCTCGTGAATTTTCGAGTCGAGTTGAGTTTACATTTAAAGTTTTCGAGTTCGAGTTGAGCTCGGTAATACTCGAGCTTGACTCGGCTCGTTTACACCCTTAACTTCAAGGGCTGGCTGAGAACATGAATGTTAAATCACAAATGGGTGGAATTAGGTAAGACTTGATGACAAGTAGATACGATAATCCTAAATCATTTAGCCCTCATCTGAAGATGAACAGCCAAAACTCAGATTCTCTCTCCCAACAAGAGAGATCAGCTTTCAAAATCCTAAAGAATTAACCAAAAACCAAACTCAATATTCAACATAATGCAATTTCCCAATTCCCACCATTCATCATCATCACGAGGATTGAAAAAGATGCAAACATAACACAAATACGAAACAAACAGAAAATTCCATCAATTTCAAATAGATAACTAAGGCAACTTATAAAGCATTTGGAAACAGCGATTCGTCCATGACATATAATGGGATTATCCAGCTCACCAAAGCCAAATGCAATGGTCTTCGATCATAATTATAGTAAGTCTTAAATCAAAACAAATCCAGGAAAAATAAGGGGCAGGGGGAATAGAGATTGCAGCAGCAAGTAGAAGAGGGACTTGAACGCAGAATTTACGGGAGGCGATCGTTATCCTTCGCTTGCTGAAGCAACTCTAGCCTCATTTTCCTGATCCCCGCTTCTCTCTCCAATCTCTCTTTCTGTAAACGCAAGAATTATTCAAAATAAAAATCATAACTGTACAATCTAGGGATTTCATAAAAAAATAAAAATAAAAATTTTAAGAAGTGC